TATATATATATATATATATATATATATATATATATGTATATGTTCAGCTACCGTATCCTGCTCGCTTCAACACAATTTCATGTACCGGAAAGTGACGCGCACATCAAAAACTTATGTTGAACGCCTTGCCAGCTACCGCTGGCAGCCTTCAAGTACACTGCTAGAAAGCCTATACATATATATATTGCCACAAGCAATCTCGTAAGGTTCAACGAGAGACAACGACCAAGACAATTAATTTTAGGCTATGCAGCCAGCGACTTGAATAGCCATTATTTTATTGCAAAGCTCTATTTGCTAGTTGGGAGAGACTCACACTCATTTTCTCTCAGTGTTGCCCTGCGCATTTCGACTGCGAGTGCATCTGCGTCTGCGTTTGCTGCAGCGGCCGCGCCTTTGATGGCACTAATTGTTAATTAATGGAATGCAGTCGGCATGTGGCACGACTAGCCATGCCCGTGCATCCCTGGCTTTGCCTCGTAAGATTAGGGTCCCAAGGTGAAGCCCCAGTGCCTTTTGGCTAACTAATTCGATGCACCAGCATACAAATGGAAATTAAAAGCCAGTTTTACATCAATGGAGTCATCAGGTGTCTGAAATTTTTCCAATTTGTAATTATAAAATGTTTCATTTTATTGTTAAAATAATCAAGAGAAGTTTTTAGATTGTAAACATAGCGTGGAGATTGATATTAAAAACGAAATGTTTAGTCGGATAATTGGGACACACTAGAAAACACTATAGAGGGCAACAGAAGGCAGATAAGCAGGAGGAAAATTTACAAATGATTATATATTAGAGCAGGGTCCCAGTATTACCCATATTTGATCTCTCTCAGCTGAAAAACTTCTTCTGCTAGCTATATATTAAAATCACAATATCAATAATTTAACTTAATTTAAAACTAATAACACATATTGTATAGTAATAAAAGTTGTTGAGACTTCAACTTGAACAAATTACGTATAATACTTGAAAAGTCTGTAAAAAGGTAAAAGCTGAAAACTGCAAACAGAAAACCAAAATAGCTGAAATCTCAAAGCAACAAAATTTTCGCGAGAAACAAGTCTTGGCTGTGTCTCAGCAGCTCGCATCATCTGGTGACAACAGAAGTAACTTAAGATCCCGCCGCAACCAAGTCATGT